CATTATATTAATGTGCTTTCGCGCTACAATTATGCGCTCTCGACATTTGTCATTAAAATAACGCCATACTATATATCTCCTCTATATCTTGTACCCTGCAATAAACATGTATTCAAACTCTCTTTTATGAGATGAAGGGGAAAAAAAAGAAAAGAAAATGAGCCAAATATATCGGCCAAAAAAATCGGCATCATATATCAGCTGCCCTGATTTCTAAATATCGGCATCGGCCAGAGAAAAACCCATGTCGGTCAACCTCTAGCCTGTATATGCTTTTTTTGACTCTCAAAATGCCGGTAGCCATTGATTTGCATTTTATGAATCACCAAGCAGCACAGGTTCAAAACCAACTAAAAATCTTCTTTACTGTTCTACTGAAGAAACAAACTCGCCTACATCTTGAATGGCCTGAGAGCGAGTAAATTCACAACAATTTTTTTATTTTTTTTTATTTTGGGTGAACTATCACTTTAAACATCAATGGTTGAAAAAACATGGGGGTGGGGTTTTGGTTCTACACATCAGATGATGATTGGATGATGAGATGTGGGCGTGGCACTCAAAATATATACAGATGAGTGTGAGCTTGCAGGGGCGGAGTTTAAGCACATGGCAACACCCTAGCAACCCCCCACCACATCCTAACATTGTGGCAATATCTTCTGCTCAAGCAAACACTCTCTAATATACTAATGAGACACTTATCTGACTTCTTTTAAAAGATAGTGTATTTACAGTCACGGATTACTGGTGATAATCACTCATAAATCAATCCTTGTGGGGTTTAAACCTACAAACTATCAGTTGCCAGCTCAGCTCAATTTCCTACTTTTATTGTAACATGACAAGGTTATGAGCTACTAAAAGGGGTAAATGCCCAAAAAACAATAACATAGTAATTTTTGACACTTGAAAATAATCAAGCAGTAACAGACATGATTATGAGCTACTACTACTATGGTACATGTGCAAAAAAAATGGTATAATATATACATGGTATAGCATGACAGTACCATGGAGATATTTAATATGTCTTTGAAACTGAAAATAAGCAATAACAGACATGATAGAGAGCCAGTACCATGGTAACCAACATGGTAACCCCATGGTACACGCATTAATAGACATGATTATGAGCTAATACCGTGGAACATGTCCAAAAAACACAGTATTACCACGTTACCGTGACAGTACCATGGTGATATAACACTTTTTTTGAGTGTGAATATAAGCAATACCACACATTATAAGAGAGCTAGTACCATGGTAAATGGCCAAAAACATGGTATTACCATTCTAAAGCCATTAGAGCAGTGAAATCAAGCAGTATCAGACATGATTCAGATTGACATGATGAAAACATCACTCATGTGCACAATTGCTGTGATCAAGTTGTGATGCTGCGCAGTGTGTGTGTGTGTGTGTGTGTGTGTGTGTGTGTGTGGTGACACACACACGACACCGAGCTCACGGATCCACAGCAGCAGATATGATGATGTTCATAAGCACAACAGAGTTTGCACCGGTGATTTACTCACATCTCAGTGACTGATGCTGAACCTGATCACAGGTGCCTCGCGCTCTTCATCATCCTCATCCTCATCATCATCAAAGCCTGCCGCCGCTTATTCCGCTCGAACCGCGCCTCATCCGAACGGGACTGTGCTCAATGAAACGCTCAAACACTAAAGCACACCTCCTCAAGTGTACTAATGAGTGTGTGTGAGGCTCCTGCGTGCTCTCGAGTGGATCTGTAGCAGCCCCGCGCCGGCGAGCTCCGATCCGGGTCCTGGCGCCGAGTGAACGCCAACAACAGGTTTCAGCGCGATCATTGGATATTCGCTCATGAATATTAATCAGATGATGAACGTTCTTTACTGGAGCTTCCAATCAAGTCGTGTAATTAATATTCACATAATAAAAAGGCACTGTTTTGGCTACTGGTTTTTTT